CGACATTATCCACCTCGGATAAAACTGGTAGGATATTGTCATGCTAGACAATATCCCTATTGACACCGTTTGGTGTAAATGTCTCGTAACGAGCAATCCCGTTACAGCAAGCGCTTTAGCGAGTAAAAGCATTTCCTACAACGCACTGCGAGATTTTTCTTACAAAGCAGTATCATGGATCATTAATTATCCTAATTTTGCACCGTACCTGAAGACGCTGAAGCAGCATTCCATAACCCCCCGCCCTCCGGAAAATCTGGATCAGTATCAATGACAGAAGAGGTGTGCGTAAAGCAGTTACCTGTCTGCACTAATGTAACGTTTATTATTAATCTAACGTACCGAAATATGGCGTTAGTAAGGATGACCGTGTAGCTGTCATACCTGAGACAAGCCAACCAAAAAAAAATTTATCGTACACATTTAATAAATGGAGTCAACGTGTGCAAGAGGGAAGACCACAATACCGTACACTGGACGCGCTGGCGCTGTCTCTGTGGCCAACACGGAATATCACGATTTTTATCAGGAGTGAAAGATCTTGCATATAGTTTCAGGAAGACACCGTCATAGTAAGATCTATATACAATTTATCATTTAGGTGGAGTCCGCGTAGCAAGTAGGGGGTGTCTACCCAGTCATTTTTTATTTTTAATGGCCACTGATTAGAACATTTTCCTGTTTCGTCCAAACACAGTCCGATTAAAAATGATCAATTATTATATATTTTATTCGTCCATTCTAATAATAGGGAGGATAGGGGAAGAGATGACAAAAGTGGGGCATACGGGTTGGTCTAAACACACTACCTTCATAGCCTATCACTTCTTTCCTGTATCCTGCACTATGCAATTGCATATTACTTTTGCCTTCATGTCGTGATCTGTGATCCCACTGATCATTTATCACAAAAATCGTTGTGTCTCGTGAGTCGATACTCACGCGTAATGAAAAACAACCTATGAAAAAATTTGGCGCTGCGACCGTGCGAGCTCTTGATCACCAGTTTGGTCGTTTGCGGTATGTCGCACGAATGGTTAGCTGATACGTTAGTCATAGGTAGTTCATCAGTCATTTTGCACTGATTGACACACCCGTGGATTGCAGATGGGTGATCGGTCCGCTAGCCTTACTTGAGAGTCTAGCGGAGTCAAAGGTAAAATTGATAATGTGTATTGTTGGAGAATTCTATGGTAGGCTCGACTAACTCAATGAGTGAAGTACGTGTGCAATCATCTTGGCAATCATCTTGGTCATCGTCTTGGTCATTGTATTGGTCATCATCTTCTGTTCTCGTAGGTAACCATCTTTTTGTTCTCGCAGGTCATCAACGATACCACCTGTGTCATACTCCCCCATGATTTGTCAGATTCAGCCTGACAAACTGCGGCGGACGCTCACGCGCTCGGTCACTTAACCCTTGTTGATCGTGGCAGCTCCGTATTTTTAAGCTGTGCGTATTAGAGACGATTCTTGTGCCACGGCGCGAAAATCAGCACGAAACTGCTTGGGAACCCGTAGCATCACGTGGTCGCCGGAATTTGTAGAAATGCTCTAGTCTCTTGCTGTTCTCGCGGTCAATGTCAGCGAAGATTGCACCAAAACGGCGCTTGGTCAGGTGGCTCCAATTTGATTTGTGAAGCTGGCGGGTGATCATGTCTTGCCCGAAGAGAAGCTGACCTGTCGAAGCATTGAGGATGCTGTGGTGGTTGGCTCTAACGGCGAACGCAGCGTAGTGTATGGTCTTTTTCCAGCCAGCTCCAATGTAGCAGCGGATGACGTTCAAAATCTCCAGGTAAACACGTTTACAAATCGCGTTCGTTTGTGGATTCTTGCTTGTCATGGGCTTGGACTGGATTCCGTAGCTGCGTAGCATCCCTTAAAAAACTTCGTTAGTAAACTTCGTCCCTTGTTCATAAATGACTTTTACCGGGAGTGGGTATCTGCAAAGTTATTCGCGATCGAAGCTCTCGGCTGTAGTCAAAGAGCTGATATCGGGCTGGATACCAACTTCCAGCCAACGCGTGGCGTGATCGACCATTGTGATACCATAGTATTTATCTTTGTAGGGATCAATAAGATAAACATGACGGTGTCGAAAGGGTCCACTGTCTTGAGTTTCCGAGGTGGCAACAATCCATAATCTTGCTTGCCGCCACGTACCTTGGCTTTCTTGCGAACTAGACAATTCTTTGTCTTCTTGTTAATCGCGGCTTCCATGCCGGGCCAGTACAGCACCTGTCTCATTGTCTTGTACTGGAGTTCACTGTTCGGGTGGCCAAGACTCAGTTGGTACCAGTTAATTAATTCATCACGCAGGCTGTCGGGCACAATGATACATTTTGGTACGCAACCAGCCTGCAGCCGAGTAGCGGTAGAAGCTGATAATCGGAGTTGTTGCTGCCTTAGAAATATGAAGTCTTGATCTTCTTGATTATGGCGTCTTAATCTTGGTGATCGCGTAGGAGAGAACCATGCATGACACATTCTGGCCCATCAGTCGTCTAACAAGTCTCCTCCGCAAGCTGCAACCTAAACGCTGTTGCTAAGTTGTCAAAGCATCCGCGAAAAAGCGTCAGCACCGACATTTTTGGCCCCCTTGATGTAGTGCATTAAGAGGCGGTACTCCGAGAGGAGTAGCTTCCGGCGCTTGACTCGAAGGATGGTTTCCGTAGGGTAGATGAGGTTTTATTGTCGATGTGAACGAACACAGGAAAATCGAGTAACATGGTGCGGTATTCGCGCAAAATTTGCACGATCAAAAGAAGCTCAAGTTCCGTTGTAGTGTAATTTACTTGGTGCTTGTTCAGACTTCTTGAGCATCATGCAAGGACCTGATTCATCTGCTTATGATACCGCCGACCTGCTGTCCGCTGGCGTCAGCATTTACGTGAAATGGTTGCTCGAAAGCGGGAAAAGCGAGCAGGAACGCTTGCGCAAACGCTTTCTGAACAGCGTGTAATGCTTCCGTGTCACAGGGTAGCCATTCGAACGGGACGTTAACGCTGGTGGAGCGGTTAAGTGGCTGACATAATGTCTTTTTGTTCAGTACCATGTCGCTGTAGTATTTAATCATCCCGAGAAAGCGGCGCAATTCCTTCTTGGTGTCGGTGTATGGCGGTCTGTTGTTTTGCTTTAATGTTCGTCTTCTGGGGCTGAATCCCCTCGGATGTAAGCGTGAAACCGATTTAGCTAATAGACTCGTGTAGAATGTGGCATATATTGCCGTTGAGAGCAACATCATACTTCTGCAGACGTTCAACACGATACTCAGGTGCTTAAGATGTGTCTTCTGGCTACCAGAGAAAAAGAGAATATAGTCCAGATTAACGACGACAAATTCCAGGTAACCAAACATCTTTTCCATGCACGCTTGATATTCGTCCAGCTCCGTATAAATTTCCATCAGAAGCCGCTTGTATGAAAATTTCCCGAAAGGTAAGCAGAAAGCAGTGTAATTACGGCTTGACCTAGCAAGACTACGCGCATAGTACCCCATGTTTGCATCTAGCGTAATAGACACTTCGCTCCCGCTGGACGTAACAAAATCTCCCGAATGCGTGGGACATAGTATGGGCTGCGCTGCAAATACCGGTTGAGCCCACGAAAGTCGATCAGGAGACGAAGTGAACCGTGAAAATGGTCTAGTAAAAAGGTTGGCGATGCCATTTACAAATCATACATCTTCTCCAGCACGTCGATGCTAACCAGATGATGAATTAGCTCTTGTGCCTTTCCTTGGAGGCTACGGGGGACAGGATATAACTGGGGGTGAACGGGCTTGTAGCCAGGCGAGATAGGTAGTGTGTTGTCATCGAATCTCACCCTTCCTAAGTAGCCATCTTACAAAATCTTGTTATTACGAAGAAGCTGATGATATCTGTCGACGAGAGAATTAGGTAGTTTCTCGGGCATGAGCTCTTTTGAGCGCTCTGCACTTTCAGCGATTTCTTTTCTTTCCTCGAGGAACTTGTAATCGCTCACCTTAAAAGAGTGTGACCCAATGTTGTTGAGATTCGCGTAGTGACCATCCCACCGAAAAAAATCTATGTTGAAATCGAGCACAATTCCCGATGAAGTCATGAAATTACGATTAATAACCATAGCATGTTGGCTCTTATCCAAAATTTCGAACCTGTAAGTTATGATGGCCAAAGGCTTGGGATTTGCAAATCGGAACTAAACGAAGGCACTGCCACAACTCGTCTCCTCGCCGTTTACTGTCTGAAACTTGATAGTCGATGCGACTTGTTTACGCCCGAGCTGGAAATTGGCCTGCATAGTCTTCTAGTAGATGATGCTCAGTGACGCACCACTTTCTAGTAGCGCATCTAAGGTGTCTTTAGCGTTTTTAATCTGAACCTTGATGCGTAACGGAGCGAGCTTAGTGATGGTATGCTTCTTGCCGACCAGGCCTACAAGTTTAAACTCGCTGTTGCTGTCGCTTGACCCTTCTTCGAATTCGGGATACTTGTTCTTGCTCGGGACTGTTGTATTAATCTCAACGGGCTTGTGCTCTACGCGCTCCTTCTTAAGGGCGAACACTCGCTGAAGTTGTGAGACTTTTTATGTGGAACTTGCACCATATACCATTATCATCATGCCACTCGTTTTCTTTTTGTCGTCTGTCACAGTCCGTATCTGAGGACGATTATCGTGTGAGTCACGATGTTCGCGCTGGTTGCGTCGATATGTGCTGTCATAGCGGTCGTTGAATAAGCGTTTCTGGTCGCGCCGACCTTGACCCCTTTCACCTTGTCTTCCTTGACCATTCTGGCAATTCCGGCCTTTCTATGTTTCGCGCCTTTAGAGGCGCTCAAAGTACATCGCACGTTATGTGATGATTTCGTCGGAGGTTCCACAGATTGCAAGCTTGTCTTGACGGTTTGGAAGCATAGCTCGGCGAAAGTAGCGACAGAGTTGAATCTATGAGGTGGTTTGCGCATCCTGGGGCAACTCAGAGTGCATTTGAGCAAGCTCTCGCAGACGTGCCGAAAGCGTTAAACTGTTTCATCGCGGCGCTTGGTCAGGTTCCAGAGCTCCTCATCCAGGTCTGCTCTGTATCCTGCTAGGACAAGTAGATAGTCGACCTCACGGTAGAAGTCTTCGAACGTACGTCCTTTCTCGGAAGAATTGCTGGCAATGCGCTCGACCTCACGCGATACATCGCCGTCAATCAGCGTGAGCAGTGGAACGGTGAGTTGGTCCATACCTCAGCCTTTTCTTTTTGCGAGACTCTTGAAATTCAGGCTCCGTGTAAGCCATTCCTTCGCGGATCCACCACGAAAGCGTTTAATTTTCATCTTGGCGACGTCCGCTGGTGCGGTCGCACTTTTTTGGCACGTCACGATTGTGTACGAAGCGTGATCCTCCTAATTTTTCCGTCCCATGTTGAAGGAAACAGGATTCTCGATCTTTTGATTGGCCAAGTTTGATATTTCAACCTGACACACCCATGGCTTGCAGATGGGTGATCGGTCCGCTAGCCTTACTTGAGAGTCTAGCGGAGTCAAAGGTAAAATTAATAATGTGTATTGTTGGAAAGTTATATGGTAGGCTCGACTAACTCAATGATTGAAGTACGTGCGCAGTCATCTTGGCAATCATCTTGATCATTACCTTCTGTTCTTGCAGGTCATCCACGATACCGCCTGTGTCATGCTTTTCTCTCACAGCTGCATGGTCTCCCACATTGCGACATAATGTGCCTGATGACTGACAACGCGATGGTGACCTACGACACGTCGTCTCAGTATCCCTTCTACATGCGAATACTGGCACAGAAACAGGGATTGACTGATTTTCTTTTTCGTCAAAGCAAACTAAAGCGATTTGAAAATTGCGTGGACCTCATCAATTCACCCGTAAGAGACAGTCAGTAAAGTTATCCCGACATAGTGTTGAGCAGGGTTTATTGCACGTGATACATGATTATTTATAGTGTAGGTTATTATTGGGCAAGTAATTCGTATCAACGTGCTTTACTACTAGCGGCCGTGACCGTCCAAAACCGCGTTGATGAATACCAGCATTCGTCGTATTAACAATATGTAGGCTACGGTCTTCGTTCGGACTGTTCGACTCGACCAAAAGATACTCGGAGGAGCAGGAACGATGTCTGTAACAGTTCACCCTTTGTTTGGGGTGTTACGAAACTTCACGTACACTAGTACATGCAGAGGAAGCTAATCTACTCAACCACTATGTTGAGTAAAGGGTAAAAAGAGATTTGTTTTCAATGTAATTAAGCTATCAACATAACTTAAATCTTTATCGAACTAGATTAAACTGCGCCGTCGTATGACGACAACCTGGTCACCACTCATCGCGCGCGTATAGCAGCGATTGGTAGTAATCTATGGTTGACATGTCTTGTATCAACCAATCTTGGAGCAGCGCATGAATATTATTCTAAAGTGGATGATAATCCTTCCATACTATCCACCTCGGATAAAACTGGTAGGATATTGTCGTGCTAGACAATATCTCTATTGACACCGTTTGGTGTCAATATCATGAAACGGGCTACATTGTGACGGGCTACCCCTTTACAATGTCGTCTGTACATCCATCCTGTCAAACCCGGATCACCAGCGTGCAATATTTCAACATCATATGAGCTGCAATATCTGCATCAATACGTTCCAGCAAGTCGTTGACGCTTACGTGCTCTTAGTCGGTTGCTAACAACATTACGTATATATGATATAATTAAAAGTTATAGGCCGATATCACTGATGTAACGGGGTGAATCGTTACATAACAATTTATAAGAAATTGTTAATAGAATATAACTTTTAGAGTTAAATTCTCAGAACATTGTCATAAGGACAACATTCTACAGCACTTACGAGTAGTTCCTAATTGGTTGATCTAGGCCATTGTATCAACCAACGAAGACGCGCCACGACAGACGCACGCAATGAGTGGTGAGCAGATAGTTGATTTACACAATTGTATTTAGACATAGTTAGATGAGGATAAACAGTGGTTTATTAACAGACATTGACTATGATAAATACAGTTCTACTTTTACTCTAACCAAGTACTTGCTTCTTCTTACCGTCTTCCTCTGCACGTACCAGTGTACGTGAAGCTCCGAGGCACCGCCTTATTCTGTCATCAGAATAAGTAGCTTGTACTGTTACCAGTACAAGCTTCAGGGTGCCCCGTTACACCTGGTAGCACTTCGTAGTCCGTCCAAGGACCACGTTCACATCTAACATGACTACGTTAGATGATGATGATGACCAAAGCTTTCACGCTACGCGTAACGGCTACTGCCATCTGAGCGATGTCGAATGGGATGCGGTTGAACGAATGGGTTCAACCATGGGCATCCATGCTGTTAGCGTCATGCTAGAGGCTCTCAATAGAGATGCCCAACATGCTACTATCGCCAAGTTCATTCAAAATGAACTTGACGCAGAACGCGAGAAAGTAGCCTTGCTTCACCAACAAGGTTCTCAACAAGCAGAGTTGTTGAGAGAACAGGGTGATCAAAAGTTTGGACTGTTGAGACAGCAGCAGGCTGCTGCTGGTGGGTCGATGCACTCGCGTCGACCCGAGACTTTGAAGATTGACATCTCCAAGTATAGGGAAGTCGAAGAGGACTCCCTCTTGAGATGTTCGTCGAATTAGACGACGCCACAAGGGCGCGTCGCATCGACGACGGGGATATGCAAGTTGCATTTGCCCAGTCAAATCTGGCAGGACGTGCCAAGACTTGGGCACTGGGGCTCAAGTTGCACGACCCATATGCATTTGGGTCGTCAGAAGTCTTCAAGTCGCGGCTCAGACAAACGTTTGAACCGCCTAGAGCTGAGTTCAGAGCTCGAACCGAACTCTTGAAGCTCAAACAGAGTAAGCGAGATGTGCACGCTTACGCGCAACATATGCGACATCTCACGAGTTGTATAAGTTCCAACCCGGTGGATGAACACACGTTGGTTTCGGTGTTCATGCAGGGTCTTGCGGATGGTCTCGTCAAGACTCACCTGTTCCGACTTGAACTGGATTCACTAGAACAAGCCATTTCCATTGCGGAACAGGAAGAATTCATTCTGAGACAGGCTCGCGCCAGCTCGACATCATATCGTACACCAAGACGATATGACAGCGGAGGTCCAGAGCCGATGGAACTCTGTTATGTAGAGAGCGAGAAGGCTCGCTCTACAGGCTACAAGAAGTTGCAGAAAAGCAACAGATGTCAAAAGACAGGACACTACGCTTACGAGTGTAGTGCCCCTCGTCCAGTGTCTCGCAACACTGGGCGTAGGACCGTCCACCCATGAGAAAGGGGCAGGGACGCGGGTCCGCTGTTGGTGCAAAGACGCAACAACGGAATGGACCGTCAAAAACGGACAGGATTAGTAGGTGCGGAGCACTTTACTGGTCCAGCAACGTCAAGAGAATTTGTAGGCCTCTTGATGAAGGTTGCTTCCAACACACAAACGTTGTGCGTTGCTGATCTAGGTAATGAGATCTCACTCATTACCTTGAAACTCGAAGTGACAAATAAGTTGTCCCTTCGAGCTCTAGTCGATTGTGGGGCGTCCAACAATTTTGTGCGACGCCAATCGCTACAAGATGGTCACTTTAAGTTCAGCGAATGTGACACACCTCCTACGAGGATGACGGAACGTCTTGCGACAGGCGCATCCGTAAGCGTCATGAAGCGTATAGTGAAGATTCACTACACGCTAGAAGATACCCAAAATGACGATGACTTTATCGTACTGGATTTGGATGACAAATTTGATGTCATCCTTGGAATACCGTGGCTCAGTAGGTACGAACCACGGGTTAACTGGCAACATCGAACAGTAACGATGCCTGCCGCTTGTTCATCAGATGGCCATCTGATGAACGTTATGGAAGCGTCCACAAGCGTGTGGATGTACTACGAGTGAGTGCGATGGCCTCACTTGTGGTACGGTCGTTAGTAAGACTGCACAAAACCTTAGTGTTCCAAACAGTTACACTTCAGAGCAAAGTTCCGGCGGCTGTGAGGACACACAGGCTGCGCCGAAGGTCCACCACTCGAATAAGTCGAGTGGACCGGGACAAAGATGTGTCGATGTAACAGAGGTCCATTAGTTCGGAACCTCCTGTTTCCTGATGTCTCGTCGGACGATATTTTGACGAGCTAGCCTGAGACCGTCTCAGGCTGAAGTCTTCTTGTTCCGCATACACTATCGCCTTTTACAGCGTATGGAAGTCCTCTCGTAACATGTAGGTCTTCACCGGCCTATTCACAAGGCCGTAGATGAACACGTTGATGAGTGTGTGCTCATCAACAGGGTTCTCAGCAACGCTACTCGCAAGGTAGCGTAGGTGCTGTGCGTAAGCGTGCATGTCACGCTTACCTCGCTTTAGCCTCAAGAGTGCAGAGCGTGCTCTGAACTCGGCTCTCGGCAGCTCAAACGTCTCTTTAAGTCGAGACTTCACGATATCCGACGACTCAAACACGTTTGGGTCGTGAAGCTTGAGCCCTAAGGTCCAAGAATCTTCATCGGTTCCCTTGTACCTTGATATATCAATCTTCAAGGTTTCGGATCGACGCATGTGCGTCGGCCCGCCCATCGACTGATGAGAGCCTTGCTACTGTAACAAGGCTATCTTCTGTCGTTCGACGTCAAGTTACCCTTGTAGGAACTTGTTGATAGCAGCATGTTGCTGGTCTCTGCTTAGAGACTCCAACATGCCACTGATGGCGGGTTCTTCCATGAGTACACTCATGCGACCGACTACCTCCCACTCTGAGTCAGTCAGATGAGAGTAGCCTTCATGTGTGACGTGAAAGCTGTCGTCTTCTACGTCCAACACGTTCATGTTGGACGGACACTAAGCAGTCGTTGGACGGACTACAAAGTGCTACCAGGTGTAACGGGGCACCCTTTGTTTGGGGTGCCAAGAAACTTCACCTACACTAGTACGTGCAGAGGAAGCTAATCTACTCAACAAATGTTAAGTAAAGGGTAAAAGGAGAACTGTATTTAGTGTAGTTAAAATATCAATATAACTTTATTCTTAATAAAACTAAATTAAACCACGCCGTCGTATGACGACAAGCTGCTCACCACTGATTGCGCGCGTCTAGCAGCGATTGGTGGCAATCTATGGTCTGTATGTCTTGTATCAAGCATCTTGGATCAGCGCATGAATATTATCCAAAAGGGGATAATATTCCTTGAATGTTATCCATCTC